CGTCTCAGGGGCCCGGGAAGGCTGTGGAGGATGGGAGGATGTGGTCTGCGTGGGTGCCCGGTGCTCCGTGCAGCCCATTGTTCCACATGGAGTGCGGGCCGGGCAGTCCAGTAGTCAGCTGCCTGGGTATGAAGATCGGCGGTCCCCGGTTATACCTCTGGGGTATAGTGTTTTAAGGTGATTCAAAGTGGGTTCAAAAAATCCATGATTAAACGTGAATCCAAAAAAATAATAATTAATATGTGGGTTATTATTTTTTTGGATTCACGTTTAATCATGGATTTTTTGAACCCACTTTGAATCACCTTTGGACTCACTTTGTTATACATCACTTTGATTGATATATTTGAGATTGTTTTATATGGGTTTTTCTATATGAGGTTTTTTATATGTTTTTTCATACATTTGATGCACTACGGTTTTGGTTCAGCAATTTAATTGATTATTTTAATTTTATGCACATTGGCACTAGTTGAGATCTATGTTCACAAGTTTTTTGATGTTTATATTTTGTCAACACTGATTTAACTCACTTATTTGTGACCCCGAGTGCTGCACACCCAGCTACAAGTCTCTCCAAGATGCGAGGGGGCTGGTTGCAGCGCAAGGACGTTTGCATTTCAGACGTTGCGGTGACTCTTTGGATACGGCAGTCCAAGACCGATCAGCAGGGTCGGGGGCTGCGGGTGGAACTTTTTCAGAGTGCGAATCCGGCCTTATGCCCCATTAGGGCATTGCACGACTTCCTGGGGGTGCGTCTCCGATGGTCTAAGAAACAATGACATTATCATGTCTAATGTGATGACACTGAGGGACATTTCATCACTAGAGTGGATGGGGAGCAACGTGAGTGCTTCTGCCATAGGACTGAGGATCAGGTTAATCAATTTTCTTCATTTTAGCCCCTAGACCAAAACGAGCACTTAACCCTTGGAGTGTAGGCACACCTGGCACATCCTGTGCACATGCCTATACCTGGCGTTCTTTTTTAAAGTTACATTCCTAGATAAAACATACTTCCAGCATTAATGCTAAAATAACTGCATGAAGTGAAATGGCATAGCACAGAATAATATAAAATGGAGCTCAGTCACACCTAGAAAAATATGTGTTCATCAAGTAGCATCAAACATGTAGTGAGTTACATAGAATTTTGGCAAATCTAAACTGGGATGTTTCTATGTTAAGCACAGAGAATATATTTACTAATATCATTATCTGCTAGAACCTATAGGTCTCCCAATCATAAAGACCTACCAGGTCTCTTGCCATAATTAGCAAAATGCACTGTATACAGTAATACCTTGGTTTGCAAGTAACTTGGTTTGAGAGTGTTTTGCAAGACAAGCAAACATTTCTGAAAAATGTTGCCTTGATATACAAGCAATGTCTTGCAATAAGAGCAAAATTTTGTAGAAAAGCACCACAGAATAAGGCTGTAGCAGTGCGAGCGATGAGTCTGTTTAACGACAATGCAATGTCACATTGGATAGATTCCTTGTTAGGTTTCACGAAATGAAAAAGATTCCATTGAACCGAGAGATAGCAGTGATTCCGTTATTGATTGGAGAAGGAGGGGTTGCGGAGATGTGATTGGAGAAGGAGGCGTTGCTGAGATGTGATTGGAGAAGGAGGGGTTGCGGAGATGTGGTTGGAGAAGGAGGGGTTGCTGGGGCTCTGCAAGTGGCATAACTAGCAATCACGGGGCCCCATACAAAATTTTGCTATGGGGCCTTATGATTTCTAGTTACGTCCCTGATTAAAATAATTAATATTTGTAGCCTAATGTTGTATAAAGTACTGTTGGAGCAATGCAGGATGACACCCTCTATAGAGGACTACAAATCTCAGCAGTACTTTATACAGAAATGCCATTGTTATATAAAGTATTGCTGGGATGTGTAGTTCTCTATAGCCTGTGCCATTCTGCATTGCTGTAAATATTAGGGATGCACTGATATATCGGACGCCAAAACATATCGGCCGAAAATTGCACTTTTGGCTAAATGTCGAAAGTGCCATTTTTCTGCCGATATACACATGCTCTTTTGCTTACACCTACTAAGGACTTATTATTGGGTATAGCGCAGTGCATAAAGATTTGATATTGGTTTTGCTATTGCATATGTGCTAATGTTAATTGTCCGTTGTATACTCAGAAGTGAAAAAAAAAGAAAAGTAGGAAGAGTAAACGCAAGGCAATCATACAGTTGATTTTTGAGCCCCTACACCGACCAGCCACATATGTCTAAGCATAAAAAGGCACTGGGAACATCCTGGTTCTCATTGAGATACAGTTTGCACAGCTACTTTCCTTCTGTGACCCAGCAACATGGCACCGACAAAAAATGGCGGCAAATCTTAACAACACCAGGATCTCTCTAGCAACATTTTTACCCCTCTGAGGAGCTCCACACAAGAGCAACCATCTGCTTCCCCCATCTCTACACCTGCTCTGAGGGCACTTTCCTCAGCAGCTGGGATGGCAAATGAAGATGCCAGAAAGCTCTTGCAAGCTTTCCCTATGAAAGAAAATCTCGATAACTCAGCAATGAAAATAAGGGAGGCACTGGGGAAAAAAAAGGAAGAACTGATTGCCTTACTGATTCCAAAATGGCAGTACTGACACAAACCTCTAAACATGAACGAAATCTCCTTTGAGTACATACATACACAGAAACATACACACACACACTCACTCACACTCAGATTCATACGTACACACACACTCTGATACATACAGTACACTCAATTCAATACATACAAACACTGTAATATATACATATATACATACTAGGGATGCACCAATACCAGTTTTTCAGTATCTCTAGTGCGAGTACCGATATATTTTTTTGGTAATCACCGATACCGAATACCGATACCGGAAGTCCCATTAATGACTCACCACAAGGTGACAAAGGAGCATGGAGCCGGCTTTCTGGCCAATCAGGAAGCCGGGTTATGGGTAATGACTCGCCGCCTGGCTTCCTGATTGGCCAGCTTCTCGACCAATCAGGAAGCCATGTGGCGAGTCATTACACAGTGCCCAGCTTCCTGATTGGCCAGAGAGCCAGATCCATGCTCCCTCGTCACCAGGTGACAAGGGAACATGAAGCCGGCTTTCTGTCCAATCAGGAAGCCAGGGGGCGGGTGTTGACTCGCCGTCCGGCTTCCTGATTGGCCGACTTCCCGACCAATCAGGAAGCTAGGCGGCGAGAAATTACACGCTGCCTGGCATCCTGAAGATGTTCTCATATTTTATATCCCTTTTCCCACCTTCCCTCCTTCCTCTCTCCCCTTACCCCTGTCAATACCTTAGTTTTCTATAGTTGTACACGACTGAGCACAGAGTGGGCAGGCTTATTTCCACTTATCATTTGTTAGGGTATAGCTAGTGATGGGCGAACTTGCTTAGGTTTAATTTGCAGGTTTGTTCAGCGAACATGCTGAAATGTTTGCCAGTTCCGAACTTTAATGTGAACCCGATTGAAGTCAATGGGAAGTGAATCTTGAACATAATTAATTTCCTTTTTCAAGGCTAATAGGCAAGGGATTGTCAAACAAAGGACATAGGAAGCTGGGAAGTACCCTGGTGAACATGTCACAGAGAAAAAAAAACTTTAAAAAAAAATCACTGGGAGCACTGGACATACGGCTCTGGGTGGTCAGTGCGAGCTCTGGGTGGTCAGTGCAGGCTCCGGGCGGTCAGTGCAGGCTCCAGGTCGGTCAGTGTGGGTTCTGGGTGGTCAGTAGGGGCTCTGGGCGGTCAGTAGGGGCTCTGGATAGTCAGTGGGGGCTCACCAGTTATGCCAGGATGACGTGCTGTGGCAATCAGGCAGCGGCGGCCCTCTATTCAGGCCAATCTTAGCATCTGCGCTTGCGCACAGACATCATAATGTAATTGCTTATGATGTTAATTGTGAATGTGCATAAAATGCCATCCATTTACTGCCATGAATGGCATATTATTAAAAGTCATAATTACCAATTACAAATTAATACTTTGTAAATAAATGCCTGTTTCCTCAGTAATCCTGTCTGTGCACAAGTGCAGATGCTGAGGTTGGCAAATCTGACTGGGTCGGCGTTCTCAACAGAACACAGCTTACTGGGGCCTCTCAGGTTTCCATGTCGGTGACCGGCCGCAATCAGGCCCCAGCAATTGGCCCTTTAATATGCCTGAATATTCAGGCATATTAGAGGGCCGCTCACTCCTCACTAGGACCCAGTGAGGCCCCAGCGAGCTGCCTGATTGTGGCCGGTCACTGACCTGAATACCGAAGAGATCCGGGTCGGCCGGGCCTATCGGCAGCTCCACCTGCCCCTACATTAATCTGGCCCTGGCAAAGGGAATTTGCACTTTGCACAGGAAGTTTCCCATAATAACAGATAAAATCGTGCACCAAGTGTAAATGCATAGCAGAAAAAATGCAGGAATATTTTTATTGTTCTGACTGCTCCAAGAAAAACAGGTGAAATGCGACTGATCACTAAAAGTTAAAAACACTTTGTACAATATTATTGCATTTTGCTGTACCTAGCACATGTAGAGTAGCAGAACATTTTTATAGTAGAGGCTTTGAGAGCTGCCATGAAGAGTTACAGTACGTAAATATTGCAGCTCCCCCACACACACACAAACACAGATCTCAGGTACACATCCACCAGCAGCTAGCACGCTTTAGACAGCCAATTTTTCTCCCAAACCCGAGCCGCCCCCTCAGATCCCAGCCACATTAAACGTCGGACCCAGTTCCCCTTTGACATCGTAGTCTTTCCAGCACCAACGATTTACACATTAGCCTGCCCACCACCACCAGCAACCCTTCATCCAGATCTCACCGCTGACAACGCGCTAGTACCCACACCCTGGTAAGTCTCATTCGATTATTTTCTCCTGCTCAGTCACTACTTGGTAGTGCGCTTCTGCATTTTTTATGTTCTCTACAGTACGTAAATATGCCTTTTAACCAAGCCTGTAGCAGCCTTTTAATGTGCAATGTTTCCAGTGGCCTCTAAAGTATGCCTAATCTGGCATGTCTAGCCACAGGGAATAATGGCTCTGCCTGTATTTAGACTGGTGCATGTGAAAGGATAAAAATAAATATTCACATTTTTGAGGTATTTATTTTTATGCTACTCTTTTAATCACATCATGTGAGACTATGATCACAAATGATGTGATTTAAAATGATTCCAAAACACTATCCCAAAATGAAGACAACATAAAAAAGTAATGCAAATACCAACTTGAAAAAGTTAGAGATATTACACAATTGTTGTTTTTCACTTTTTATGTAGATGTGGTACAAAAGAACGTAAAGTTTACTTTCAAGGTGCTATTTTTGCACTTTTCCACACTTATTGACTAAAACTCTTCAATATCTAACTACCCCAAGTACAAACAAAAAAATACTCACAACATAAACAAAAGATGCTCAGGAGTCATTCAAAGCCAATAAAAGCAAGCTTAAACCACTATAATTTCAACTTCCTGTTAACTGCAGTGCATTTTGCCTATAGGCAAAAGTTTAGCAGAGAACTGGCCAATTTTGACATAATTCCAGTGAGTTAAAATTGGTCAAAATCGTTCATGCCTAATGTTTATAATTATACATTTGTTGGCAAGGCAGGGGTGGATGCAGTCTGGATGCATATAGATTGTTTACAAACAAAATGTCTTTTAACTCCAGTGCTTTGCTAGAAAACAGTTAGGAGATGCGGGTGCTAGCTACATTATACAGGGAAAATTGAATGCCATCAGGGTAGATTGCGTATAATAGTCTTATGCCCATTAGAATTTGGCAAATTTATAAAGCAGTTTCCCAATATTCCCCAATTATTCACTGCAGGCAAATCTTCCTAGTGGATGCATTTGAATATGCAGCGATTGATTCACCACTAGTGAAGGTTTGACAAAAGTCACAATTATTACTTTATGCCCCATATTTTAAACATATTTATACAGTTTATTCATACAGTTGGATAGAGGTTTAAATACCCAATGTATCATCCTTCTACAGGGTTACAGCTGTTAAAATGGGCTATGTGGTTTATGCATCTGTTAATATGTGCCTGATCATGGTTTGTCACTAAAACATACAACTTTGTATGACCTAACAATAGTTCTGTATGAAACAAAGTTGAAAGTACTATTAAACAGATTCAGTACTTACTGAGAGAGATCACAGCCTTTGCTGTCAAACAGCAGTTATTCAAATGGAGCTCTTTTATTTGGCAGCAGTTGTGTGAAAAGGATTCTATTATGTGCTCTAGTCCATTGCCAATATTGGGAACATCTGAGAGCTGAAGAATTCTGAGTTCAGGTAAACACTGTATGCTGCTGGCTATAAATAGATTAGGAAAATGTATATAAAAGAAGATTAATATTATGTTAAATACCGTATTCAATACCAAAAAGACATAAAACACAAATACTGTATACTTAATTCAAGATAAATGTTTAATATAGAGGGGGGACCCAGAATGACCAAACTACAATATGCTGCGTTGAGAAACAAATCTTGTTGGCTCAAGGAGAGCAGAAAAACTGAAGCTCAAGGTCTTGGTAAAATGTATACTCATATTTGCATTTTACTTATAAAAATGTAAAACAATTAAGTACAGTATAATATAGTATAATATAACGGTGCAGTCAAAGTTACATTCATAATTAGGCTGTGGTTAATATAAAATAAATATAAATAAAATATTTATACTAGAGATTTGTATAATATTAATGCATATAAAACATAAAATCCTTTTAACAATATATCTAAGTACACTGGCAGAGTACTGGCAAGAAAATCTTAAGAATATTGCTAATAAAATAAGAAATATAATCTGACTGATGTTAAGTTGAAATTTCTACTATTTATGGATGAAACAAATCTATATTTTTGTTATCTGTGGCTTTGTGACAAATCTTTCATATGTATATTCTGTGGAGTTTTATGAGCTATGCCATAGTTACCTAAAATTTCAGCATCTTTTTCATTTAGGCGTATATTGTGCAGGACTAATTTTTCAATTTCCACGAGATTACACAAGCCATGTAGCAAACCACCTAAAAATTCAAGACAATAATTATTTACAGCAGCTACAGTATACTAATGTGCTGTATTTCAAACTTAGAACAACTTGAACAGTACAAACAAACTGAAAAGGAAAATTGGGCCCAACTGGTTAGCACCTATAACCTACTTCTTGAAATTCTAAGAAAGAACTCCAGCCCATCTTACACAAAGATAAAAGAGTTCGAAAAATATGCCAAAGCACAAGTATTCTAAAATTAACAAAAAGTGTTTACTTTTGTAAAAAAAAAAAACTGTCACCAACTTAAAAACTGCAGGTAAAAGCTCAGAAATATTTAATATGCTTACTTTCCGCATTTTTCCTTTCCACAAATGATTTGGTGTTAATTTGCAATGTGCCTCTGAATTTGCTAGCAAATTTGACTACATCAGGAGAATCATTTCCCTGGTATAGTGCCTTTTTGCATGTCATAGCTCCTCATCTCCACTTCTTGGAGTGCCTAATTATTGTCTGTGCTGACTTAACTTCTACGCTCCTCCGCTCCCTACATAACTTATTATATAGCAGCTAGGGAAGAAGCGAAAGGGTATACTATAAAGTGTCACCTGTGTGACACCTTTCAATCTGTAGAGGATGCTGACACCACATCCAGCAGCAGTTTCATGGCTTCTGGATGTTTTTACAAGGGAGGTTTTTACAGATTAATAACATGCATAAAATACATTACATGCACTTCAAATCTTAACGTGACACTAAACTCCAAAGTAAAATCTTAAAAATGCATTTAAGTATCTTAATTATTAACAAACATGTAGCTTATACTGTATGTGCATCATTCAGCTGTAGATCCTCAAATCATCTCTGAATTGGCGCTGACACTGTTCTTCCTTCTGGAGGGTGGCTACTTTTTTTTCCCATGGTCCCTGTGTGTATTGTAAATAAGCCACCGCTCCAAACTAGCTCCCGTGATGGACTACAATCTCACATTCAGTTTACTAATTTGTATTGAGATTGTAGTCCATCATGGGCGTGAGCTTGGAGCAACTTACAGGATTTAAAGGATCTGCTACTGACAGCTTGGTGCCAGATACCGCAGCATACCTTCGGAGGTCTAGTGGAGTCCATGCCTTGTGCTGCAAAAGGGGACCTACTCAATATTAGGTGGGTGGTCATATTGTTATGGCTGATTGGTTTGTTTGTGTGTGTGTGTGTGTGTGTGTATATATATATATATATCTACAATTATTAACTACAATCTTAATACAAATTACTAAACTAAATGTGAGATTGTAGTTCATTACGGGAGTGAGCTTGTAGTGGCAGCTACTTTACAACACAAACAGGGACCAACTTAAAAACTACCACCAACAAAAGTTGGAACAAATTGGAAACAAAAAAAGCCAACCTCCAGAAGTAATGACAGTGTCAGCATAAATTCAGAGATGATTTGGGAATCTACAGCTTGGGTGATGCAAAAACAAGTTACATTTTTGTTAATAGTTAAGGTACTTGAATGCATTTTTAAGATTTAACGCCTGAGTTAAGTGCCACTTTAATATTCCTGTCTGCTTGATGGAAAATATGTGACAATGTTTTTATTCTAATTGAACCAGTTGCAGCCTAGAAGTAGTAACACCGTGCGTGTCACTCTGTCCTACTGATGGCAGTTTTCATTTATCTGTTTTCTGCCAAATGGTCTATATGTTTTTGGCAAACAAAACTGTGGGGCCAGGGTGGGCAGTGCTGCTGGTTGCGCCAATGCCTCTTCCTGCTGCCAGTTGTCACACTCAATCACTGCTCAGTTTTGCGGCATGATCCTGAAGTGGTGGTATTCTCAGTCTAAAATGCTCTAATTATAACTAGGTGTGGAAAGGTGTGTGGGGGGGGGGTTAGAAGCGGTTCAAGTCTTTTTGATTAAGAACGATAACAGGCACCATATGAATTGCCCTGCTTCAGTCCTACACAGCAAAAAAAAGTGCAAACACTTTACAATGGATGAAAGGCCCACCTCTTCTTCTCAATATATAAAGTCATGTTCCCTACTAATGAGGGTCCATTTTATGACCCAAGTAGAATTTAATTTTAAGGAGCTCCTGCAACCCTAAGGAATAAATGAAAGTCCATTTCACCCTTAAAAATCACAAAAGCAACCTTAATTTTAATTTACACATCGACTCCAATGCATTTAGCCAAAACAGCGAATTTTCACAAAAATGCAAAAAAAGTTAGATCTCCAGTGTCCCCATTGGATTCCGCGATTTGTCAGTCAAAGTACCGCAGCGCTGAATACTGAAAAATGGCCTGGATGGGAAGGGGGTTTAACACCGCGGATGTCAACTGGTTAAAAAAATAAAATTATTTAAAAAAAACGTGTACAAAAAAAACTATAAAAAAACACAACCCCTCCCTCCACCCACATAACATACACATAATGAGGTGTACGCCATGCACATGCGCTGCAGTGCGTTGTTGGAACGCATCGCACTGCATGATTTTTGTAATTAATTTTTCTTCTTTAAAAAAAAACATTAAATTAACGGTGGCAGCGCATGGCAAAGCTTTGTGACGCATTGCCGTGCGTTGTGATACCTTGTGTTGCAATTAAATATACGACTGTATCATTTTATCACAACACAAACACCAACACAGCGTAAAAACAATTTTTTAACATAAGTCGCTTATTTACAGTTTTGCGTACCGTCATTTTTTTACCTTTTTGCAAAACGGCGCAATTTCAAATTTGCAAATATTTGTTACTTATTAACTCAATACAGTTTTATCTTTTAGATTTAGTCAGAAAATATTTTATTGTGCACTGATACTGATTTTAGGGCTTTATCAATTAAATTGTGTATTTTTATCGGTTTAATATTAATTTGAGAAACATTTGCGCAATTATCGCAGGGCCTACAAATTTAGTATCACCATCTTTTTATTCTACCGGGCCTGTGCTTTCAGAAAATATATGGTTTGGGGGGTCTTTTACAAACGCTAGCAACGCAGCAGTTGAAAATCAAATCAATGGGAAATGAGTTGCCGGCATCTGGAGCCAGCAACTCCAGGCAGGGATCTGTGACTCCAAGGATCGCCGCTGCTGTCCCGCGCTTGAGACAAAAACACCAGCGGGGGTGGAGGAGCAAGGGACGGCTGGCGAGGAGAAGCCGCAACTTTCAGGATGCCCGAGCGCTGAGGAGAACGGAGCCGCTGTCATCCTGTCAGTTTACGGATGACAGCGGCTCTGTGCGTGGCCAAATGGAGGATCGATAAATATCATTGATATTTACCGATCCTCTGTGCAGCACAAACACCACAGTGATTGTCTGATCACTCCAGTGTTTGTAAATAACTGGGGACACATAGGGGGTTATTCACAAAGCTGCCAAAGGCTGTTCGGCTATTCACTTCAGGCTTGTACAGCTGATTTAAGCCGTACATCGGCTTGCTGTGGCTGGGTTCGGGTCGACCGAACATGCTCAGCATGTTCGGCCGACCCGAAGTGCAGAAGGAGTTCGACTCGGCTGAGCCGAACCTCCGGCATGCTACTCGCTACTGTTCGGCCTATTCTCATAGGGGCCGAACGGCAGTGAGTGAATAGCCGAAGGCCGCCGAGCGCCATTCGGCTCAGCTATTCTGCTCGGTACCTCTGTGGTACCGAGTAGAATAGAAAAAGTAGAAAAAAAAGGAGAGAATGATTGGGCGGCGCTAGCATTGACAGCTAGCTCCACCCAACTGTTTTCTATTGGCCGGGACCAGCTGTCAGTACAATGAGAGCTTGTTGGAGCCGGCGGTGATATCAAAGCTGGCTCCGACAAGCTCTCATGGCAGTTCAGTATCCCCTGGTCACTCTCAAAGAGGCGCAATTACAAATTTGCTAATATTTGTTATCTATTAACTCAATACAGTTTTATCTTTTAGATTTAGTCAGAAAATAATTTTTTTTGTGCACAGATACTGATTTTGGTGTGTTTTAACAATTGAATTGTGCATTTTTATCGGTTTAATATTAATTTGAGAAACATTTGCGCAATTATCGCAGGGCCCACAAATTTAGTATCACCATCTTTTTATTCTACCGGGCCTGCACTTTCAGAAAATATATGGTTTGGGGGGTCTTTTACAAACGCTAGCAACGCAGCAGTTGAAAATCAAATCAATAGGAAAAAATTGCAGAAAATTCAAAAATGGCTTGGCCAGCTGATTTGAAAAATGTTCCGGAGGGCTTGGCAGCGAAAGGGTTAAACAAACTATACATATCTAACATCCTTGCCTGGTCCGTGTAACATACTTGCCTTGTCCGTGTGGACACATGTGTTTGGTCTGCCTGTGTGGGTACCTGTGCCGGTATCTCTGACAATTCTTCTGTTAGAAAAGCACAGATTCAGAGATGTGAAAGACACAGCATTTGGCTCAAAAGAGACCATAAGAAGGAAGGGACACCTTTTGTGATCCTTTTAGTACAGACTTTGACACAATATGAGCCAATTAAGACATAAAGTCTTCCAGATTAAAAATAAGTAAAATAGCTAGCCAGTAGCCACAGACACCCCAGTTCACTCTCAGGAAGCCTCAGAAATGGTTACAGAGGCAGAGAAGGGGAGAGGTCTGTGGAAAAGGATCCCCCAGTAGCTGCATGGTAACTGGTGCATAGCACAAATATGACACAATAGCAGGTGATGGGAATCCTTTAAGGGAAGCAACACCACGCAGGTGTGCTGGAAAGCACTAAACCCATGCCTATCAAATGGGGTACTCACAAAAAGAGGGTGATTGGCCAGGACACTATCTTTCTCAGGATTCCAGCTATCTGACTGAATCTATAAGAAGCAACACAATGGAAGAAAAAAACCCTCAAGTAGTCTGGATCTAGCAGAGCTAGAGAGAGATGCCCTGCCTTCTTAGGACACTAACCTAAACTGAGCAGACATAGCAGGAGTGAGGTAATAGTCTGTATGGGGCTGGTCCCTTTTTTGCTTTACTTAGTATCCAGTTCTCCTGTAGGTGGCACAGAATTTACACCGTGGTGTGCCTCAATAAAAGATAGAGAAATACGCCTGTTGCCCTGGTCAATCAATTTGTTTCTAGATAACATGTTTTTATTAATTAACTAATTTTAACAGAAATCTGATTGTTTATTGTAGGCAACACAAGCAATTTTCTCTTGTAGTTTAGTTTTAATGTTTTTATTTAAATTGCAATTCTTGGTTTTTACCTTCTTCTTGTTGCCTGTCCATATAAGAAATGCTTAATATTTTCATACTTGTCATCTCCACAATTCGTGTCTCATCCTCAATACTTAGAGGGGTGTTGTCTATAATCAGATCCTGCATTCTTTTGCAGTATTCCACAATTTTTGCAAGGTTCCCAGTGATTCCTGTGCTGCAGCTAATCTTAAGCCTGAGACGCTCAGCACAGCAGCATATCTTTCCAAGGCATTTTATGTCATGTTTATTAAGTCGATCAAAGTTTTTCAATGTGACCTCCAGAGTCTGCAGAGCTTGAGTCCAATCAAAAAACAACTTGACAACCTTTTCAGAAATGCATGTGTTTGGTTTATTCTCCATGTGTCCTCTTTCCTGAGAGGTGTCCTTTTTATCTTTATTTAATGCATCACTATGTGAACCAAATAAATCTAACTTGACTAGATGAAGGACACTTAGGCAGCTTGGTAAGTATTGAAAAAAGTCAACATGATGGGAGGCTATATTATACATGTTAATGTGTAATGTTCTTCCAAAAAAGAAGCGTTTGAATTCCTTACTTAGTTCCATTTTGGTGGCACTTTCATAAAAAAGGTTTATTCCGAAGTCCACAATATCAGTGCTCTGATCGTTTATGCCATCTTTGCACACATTTACAATGTGATTAATAACTTTCTGAGTAGCAGTTTTGGATGACCCACATGTGTAAAACAGCAAATTTTTGTACCTATCTGTGACATCATTTACTGTGAGTATTTTATGTAGGTAGCATTCTCCTTTCTCAGAACTGGAAATGTCTTCCGATGACAAAAGTTGAGCAAGTCTCCTTCCAGCAGTGTATTCTTGGAATGATGTATGAAAAAATCTGTACACAGGTTTTGGTTTTTGAGCCCCATGCTTATTTAAAAGCCCAATGTTAAGCAGGATATTCTCTACAATATCACCCAAATCTTTTTTTTGAAATTCAAACTTACGGCCAAACAGTCCCTCAAGAGCCAAGTCTCCACAGTAGATAATATTTTGTTCTATGATACTTATCTGTATATCTCTAATTTTGTGATGACTCCTCTCAACCATCAAGTCGTATAGTGTACAGAAAAGTGTTGTTTGAGTGTTCATGTGAAATTCAAGCTCCCCCATTCGTAGAGCACAAGCTATGACTACAAAAAGTGGTGTCTTCATGAGATTTTTCATAAAATCTGTCTCATCCAACTGCTGCAATAAGGCGATGGCTTCTTCTTCTTGTAAGATATTTGAAATCAAGTTTTTTGCACTTTCAGGGGTTAAATCACTGGTTTCCACAATCAGAGAAGCACAATGTCGAAGTTCTTTGAGAGATTCTGTTCTTGTGGTGACAATGACGGTGCTGCCAAATTTATAGTGTCGTTTTATAAGGTCATCGACTTCTGCACAGCTCTCACAGCTGAATTCATCATAGCCATCCAATAAAAATAACACTTTAGGTCCAAGGCTCCAGATTTTATGCATGAATTCTTGTTTGTTCCAGTTACAAGTAACAGGAAAAAGCTGGTCACACATTGTCTCATAAAGGCTTTTGCTCGTACTACGCAAAGTGATAAAGAATGTAAACCTGTACTGTTTAAGTGAGTCACACTTTCCAGATGCCCAGAGAAAAGCAATCCTCTTTAGTATAGTACTTTTTCCTTTGCCAGCTTCTCCCTCAATGATGCATGGACTTTTAAGTCTGTTTAGTAAATCTTCCAATGTAAGTTGTTCTTTTCTGTGATTGAGTGTATTTTTCTTCCACAGTAAAGGGTCAGTAAAAGTTGTTTCCAAATCTAATATGATGTCAATTTCTTCACCAACTGGGTAGATATTTTGAAAGACATTGCTATTATACAAGTTTTTAAGCTGAAATTCCAGATATTCCAAATCCTCATCTGTTACTCTTCCAAAAACATCTAAAAATAGTAGACAGAAATTGAGAGATAATAACAATAATGCAGATGTGTTTTGTATATACGAGGTACAGACACTAGAGTATTTAAGAGACAATTTTGGTATCAAAATAAAATGAGAAGTGCTTTTACATATTAAAATTACTCATTACAACACCTCCACAAACCATGTGATTTAATGTTATGAGTAAGGTATGTATCCAAATAATTTTAATCTACAAGATTTTTATATCTGACTTACTTAATAAATTTACATATTGCTTTATTTCAATCATAAGAACACTATTTGTGCATAGAATGCCCCAAAAATCTAATTTTCTGTTTCTGCAATTAGATAATCACTCTGGTCAGAAGTCTACATAATCCTTGAAACCAATGTTTTGAAGGATCCTTTAGATGCTATCTTAAAGTTTGCTGAGTAATCCTTTAATTTTTGGTGGTATACTGACAAAACGCATTATATATGTACTGTGATGTTATTATGCAGATTCTTTTTTCAGCACTGTGACTACAGTCATGTGATTACAGCAGGAAAAACCTTCCACCTCCCACCTAGCTGTCTGTGTAAGGATATTAGTGCAACAGACTCTGACCAAGGTGGGAATTGTAGATACAAGGTAAAACTTTTTGGTAGTATAACTGTACTATAATACTAATAATGGTAGGAACTGTGAGGTCCTGAAATAGTTGGAGGCAATGTAAAAATAGTGGACTGTGTGGGTGTTCTTTAATAATTGTGGCCACTGTGGTGGTACTGAAATAGTTTAGGGCATTGTTGCTGTACTGCTATATTGTGGGAACCACGGTTATACTGCAATAGATGTTGGGCAGAGTTGTGTGGCCATGATAATTGTGGGCACTGTTGCTTTATTGTGATAATTGTGGGCACTGTTGCTGTATTGTGATACTTGTGGGCACTGTTCCTGTATTGTGATAATTGTGGGATAATGTCTTCCTTGAGTGGAAATGTGACCCAGTGCACATCATGCGCAATGTATGCGCTTCTTGAACAACCATTTGAGGTCGAAAACTGTTGCGCAAGGTGTGAGCTAGTTGGTTGTTTGGAAGCCCAGATTCTGGATCTAAGGAATCGACTGGCAACACTGCAGGGCATAAACAACATGGAGAGGAGGATCTGACTCACCAGGTCCTGATGGAGGCCAGAATAGAGGAAGGTGGGCATATGGCGGAGCAGGATCCAGAGGTGGGCAGCTACGTTAACATTCAAAGATGGGGTAGAGGGAAGAGCATTAGATAGGCCAGTCCTGAATCGATGTGGAACTAGAAACATCAGGGCCCCGGTGCAAGAAAATAATAAGGACCCCCCCCCCCACCACCACCAAAAAAAACATGATTTTGTAAGTTTTATGTTTAATATTAAATAAACAGTATGGGGGAAATTTATCAAAGCAGAAGTATCTGGAGCAGTTGCCTATGGCAACCAATCAGCTTTTCTCTTCAGTTTGTTCAGTTAAGGTTTGAAAATAAAATGTGGATGCTAATTGGTTGCCAGAGGCAACTGCTCCAGATTCTGTCTGCTCCGTTTTGATAGATTCCCCTCTCTGTATGTTATGACTTTCAGGGGTAGTTCACAATAAGCCAAATTCGGTGGCGGAACGCACAAATTCGGTGGCGGAACGCACTAGATCGCATCACGGCCGGCTCACTGCGTTCTGGGTGCATCCCTACTTAATAATATAATGTATTGCTGGGACTTGTAGTCCTGCATAGTTGGTGGTATTCTGCATTGCTGTATAATCATTATACAGCAATGCAGAGTACCACCAGCTATGCAGGACTACAAGTCCCAGCAATACATTCTAATGTAAATGATAATACCACCAGTTTCAAGCCCCCCCTTCCCAATCCAGCCTTCACCCACACCAGCCTTACCTGACTCCTGCAGTAACTACTGCATCTCGGTGGCCAGGGGGCGGGACAAAGTGGAGAAGGTCCTCTGCCAACAGCTGATTGTGCTGCCTGACGGGGCCTACAATGTCGGTAGCGGCTCCACCAGGCAGACAGGTGACAGACACAGCCTCTCCAGCCCCGCACAGCCGCCCATACATTCTTCTGGGGGGGGCGGGGCGGGGGGGGAGGGGGCAGCATTATTGGGGGGGGGGGGCATGAGGGAGCTGCGGGCCCTCTGTTTCCTCTCTGGGCCCCCCACAACAGGCAGAATGCCAGGGCCTAGTCGCAATTGCAACTGCGGCGACCCTGGTAGTTCCGCCAGTGGATGCACCCCAATAAATATGTCAGGTTGCATAATTCAGTCGTGTCATTGCTGGAGCAAGGCACTTCTCTGGTCTTCCAGGGGCGTGACTGCTGCAGTAAGGATGGGAGTAGGAAGATCCTGGTAGTGAGGGACTCTATTATTAGAAAGATGGATAGAGTAATCTGTCACTGGGACTGTGAACATTGGACAAGCTGCTGCTTACCAGGGGCTCGTGTTTGACACATTGCGGTACGGGTGGACAGATTACTGGGTGGGGCTGGGCATGACCCAGCTGTCATGGTACACATCGGTATGAAAGGAAAAGGATGTCATTGAGCTGGAGAGAGTCCAGAGAAGGGCAACTAAACTAATTTAAGGGTTGGAGGACCTAAGCTATGAGATAAGGCTACTAAATTTAAACTTGTTCTCGCTAGAAGTGAGGAGACTAAGAGGAGACATGATTTTGATGTACAAAATGTTTAGTGGTGATGGCAACATCTGCAATAAACTTTTTACTGTAAACTCCGTAACAAGGACTAGAGGCCACCACCTAAAACTGGTGCAGAAAAGATTTATCCACAAGGGGCGTAGGGGCTTTTTTTTTTTAGTTAGAGAGGTTAAAATCTGGAATTGGTTGCCACAAGTAGTGGTATCAGCAGAGAGTATTGAATCATTCAAAAAGCATTTAGATACCTTCCTCAGAGACCATAACATGCAGGGGTATGGGTACTCTTAAAAACTAGACCACACATGGATTCATATACACACACACACACACACACACACACACACACATACACATACACATACACATACACAATCACATACAGACACACAAAGGTTGAACTTGATGGACCTGTGTCTTTATTCAACCTCAAATACTATGTAACTATGTAATGACAAAATTAGGGGTAAATGGAGTGTCCTAAAAAATGATGTTAGGGACTTAGGTGCAAGATTAAAGAAGAGGACCACCAAGGTAGTATTTTCTGAAACACTGCTGGTGCCATGAGCAATACTAGAGAGGCAAAGGATATTAAGAGAACTTAACTGGTGTAGGAAAGAGGGGTTTGGGTTCATGGAGAACTGGGCTGACTTTTCAGTCAGGTGGCTTTTCTAATGGTTAGAAGACTGGAGGAGCTTTTAAACTAAATTATGGGGGTGAGGGAAAGGATATGGTAGTGACATTGAGGGAGCAGGGATCAAAAGGGCCACTTAATATAAAGGGGGATAAATTAATGGGGGACAGGAGGCTTGCTCCAGTCAGTAGTGGATAAATCTATCAATGTCCAATATAGTAGGAAGATAGTTGTGATTCAGAAAGGAGCAATTACAATCTGAGGAACACTAGCACTAGATTAAAGGGTATGTACACGAATGATAGAAGTCTAACAAACTGGAGGACCTCGAACTTCTGTTACTTGAGGAGGACTTTGTGGGAGTAACAGAAACTTGGCTGGACAGCTCGCATGACTGGGCAGTTAACATACATGGGTATAATTTGTTTTGGAGGGACAGGGTTGGTAGAAGAGGAGGAGGGGTATGCATCTATGTGAAGAACAATCTTCAGGTGCACAAGCATGAAGACATTGCTGGTGGAAATTGTAACGGTGTTGAGTGCTTGTGGCTAGAACTAAACAAGCTTGAGGTAAATAGTAAACTGATTGTGGGGATATGCTATAGACCCCCACGCATAAAGGAAAATGAGGAGACTCAAATCCTCTCACAGATTGAATAAGCCGGTAAAAAGGGTAACATTATTATAATAGGGGACTTATTTATCCAGACATTGATTGGCAAAGGGAACCACACACTCAACCAAGGCTTGCCGTTTCCTGAACTTATTGAGTGACAGTTTCATGGAACAGATGGTAGAAGTCCCAACTAGGATGAATTCATAGATACTTTTCTTAGCGCACAAGATATACAAGTTTACAGATAATCTTAGTAACAAACACACACAGACACACACACACAGTCAAAACCCAAAGGTTGAACTCGATGGACCTGTGTCTTTATTCAACCGTAACAACTATGTAAATGTTACTTGGGCAGAAGAGTTCATAAGATGGTTGGATCATGCATGAATGCCGACAATGTATTAATGTCTAACCCCAGTTTATGTCTAACAAAAGCTAATCTGCGTGGCCAATGTTTGGATCTGCTGGAAGGAAAAGCCACTGTTTTACTAGCCTAGATCGTACCTAATTTTAGGTTAAAGTGTAATTCTGTGGAAACTTATGGTTGAAAATTAACATGGATTCTGGTTACTTCTTACTTCCCGGGTGCTAAATTAGGAGGTCTATCTGTTATATTCACATCACTCTTGGCAAGAGGAAAACAGCTAAAGCTGTCCATACACTGTTAGAATTTCATTCAAACATACGTTTAAAATCATTTTTCCCTGACTGCTCCATGTCGGCACACGAGTGGGTATAGGCTCCGCCCCCCCCCCAATCTGATAGGACCAATAGCTCATAAGTTTGAGCCTCCCCACAGCCAATACCTTCCTCCTTTTTCCTCCTGTTGGAGTCTGATAGGTTAGGATGGCTATGGTCGCTTACCCGGCGGAGGTAAATCCTTGGCCGTCCACCCCTCGTCTGATCTCGGGTGCTGTCCTCGCTCTATGTCCATTTGTATGGATATGCTGAGGAGCCTCTCTCCTGGTCTCCGAGGCGGATTTATGCCGGTAAATCCGGTTCTCATATCTTGGGGGTGTAGGAGTGGTGGTCTGGCTACAGGGTGGCTATGTGGCCGTTGGTCTCTGCGGCGTCCCTTCGCTGCGGTC